ATTTAATACATGTAATGAAATTGAAAACAAAAATTGGAGCAGCTACTAACGAACTAATGATGAATTATACTTTTAAATATTTTTGATGTTACACGTAAACTGACTCACCAACCAAAATTTTTTTCGAGGCTCTTGGAAAGCTTCTTTACTTGTACTGCCATTATCATCGTACATGTCTCTCAAATTTTTTGAACATTCATGAGCTATTCAAGATGAACATTTCATATTTTGTATTGTCGTGTGCTATCGTGCAATACTAGTTTAATTCATTAGACAGAAGCACAATCGTTGTAACGTTAGAAGGTTAGAACTGACTGGCCTGATGGATATAGAATATAGGAATACAGGATGAAGATAAACTCGTACTTTAGACGAGGGGTGTGAAGCCATTTCCGCAGTGAAGGGGGGTATAGTCACGTGCTTTGTGGAACGCATTCATGATTGGTTGTAACATAAAAGCACGAAAGATCAAAACACGTTGAACTTCATTACAAAAGTGAAAAATTAAGGATGTATTGGGTATACAGTTAATCCCAAAAGTTTATGCACTTTAGAAACGCATTTTTTAAAAAGAAATCAGACAGAGAATCGGAAGAACATTGCTAATAAAAAACAAGAAAAAAAATTTTGCGATTTTTCCGAGATTATTCCAAGGGGTTCAACCCCTTCAATTTCTTCCAAATTTTCGTTTTTCTTCAATAACTCCCAAACCGTTGGACGGGAAAATTGCATCAGACCTTTTCTGTAGAGGACAACGAGATCTACAATTTTCATGTAAAAACTTTTCACTAGCGTCAATAGTTAACGAGTAAATTGCAAAAAAAATGTTTTTTAGTTTCTCGTCAATAACTCGTAAACTATTAACGCTAGCAACAAACTTTTATATAGAAATTGTAGATCTCGTCATCCTCTACAAGAAAGAAAAAAAGAACTTACAATTCCAGAAAGAACAAGTTTGTGCTCATTCCATTTAAGATTATGATAAGATTATGTATATTGCATTAAATAAAAATAATTTCATTTAGAATAACGAACACAATAAATAAACATTTTTGTTTAAAGATTAAATTTTCTCAATTTCCGCATCTCTAACTCCGAAATCTGTAACTATTATTTTATTCCCATTTGATTCGTTATATAAAGGGTTCCCTTCAAATGTAATCTCTTCTAAATTTTTCAGCAACAGTAAATATTGCATTTCAATTTCATTCTGAAATACGAATTATCCAAATTACAGAATTCAATGTTTGTCATTTATACTTACTTCCACACAATTATGAGCAACATAAAGTTTCTTCAATTTTTTTAACGCTTTTGTAAATTCCAAGGACTTTATCTTATTATTCTCAAGAGATAAGAGTTTTAAATTATCATTTTCCACGAAATCTTCTACGTTTAATGCTTCAATTTCGTTATAATCAAGAATTAAGGATTCCAATGTGGAGCAATAGATTATTTCTAAAAGTGATATGCAAACTTGTAATCTTAGTACTATTCAATTACATGTTGACACTTGAACGAAGTAACAATAAAGTACAAAGTTTACCATTAATATTCTGAAGATGATTATTGTTCAAAAACACGTGTTTAATCACCGGCAATTTCTGTTTAGTAATATTCGTTACCGATTTGATGTAGTTATGATCTAAAAACAATGTGTACAACTTTGGGTATATACACTTAGTTTTCTCGTATTCATCACCACTAAATATTTCAAGACAATTGTAACTCAAGCACAATGTGCGTAGATGTTTAAATGAATGGAGACCCCATAAATAAGTTATTTGATTTTTACTTAGATCTAAGCTCTCTAATTGTGGTAAATATTCCGCAGAAAGATCCACCTACAAATATACATACAGGTATTATATTATAAATACCTTAAACTTTGTTAGATTCTACTGCGTACCATTGATAAAGAGCAATCGACTAGACTCAATTGCGTGATATTTGCTAATCGATTCATTTGATATATTGTGCTTAATACGTGTTTGTCACATTTGTTGCCAAACATGCATCTCGCTTCGGAAACATCAAAACTCTGTACGTATTCGCCAGAGACACACTACTAAACAAATGATATTAATTACTCTCTTCGAATGATATTTTTATCTAAAACAAGCAAACACTATCTTTTCAGTTAAAAAGTTTCATCTAATGAATTCTCCAAATTTTTCTTAGAGAGACATACCAAAGATAATGGTATAAATCTTCTTAAAATTATTCTTTCCTTATTATCATTCTTATAAAATATTTAGCAATCTTTACGTGATTATATACTACGTCAGGTATCGCCAAAGTGGTCGATGTCGACCCCCTGGGGATTGATATAACAATTGGAAAATAAATGCATAATAATAGTAAAAGCTTTTTTGTTTGTAACTCTGAAAATGCTTGTAGCCACTGAAAATTAATTTTGTGGAGGTCCACAAGAGATTTCGAAGATTTTTAAGGGGTCGATAATAAAAATTGGCGACCTACATTGAATTAAGAAGAAATGACGTTGGTTTCACTTACTTCAATGCTACTCAAGTGAAATATAAGAAACTTTTTGTAGAACGTGTCCATAGTTAATGGATTCTCGGACAAATCAATGATACGTAATGCTTGCCATGTTTTAACATTGTCTATCTGTGCTATTTTCTCTATTTCATTGTTTCCACAATAAAATTCTTGTAGCGTGTAAAACGATCCCATTGATTCTAAGCTCGTTATCAAATTGTTTGTTAAGTCCAGGTATCTCAACGAGGGAAGGTTCTCTTGAGTAAAATCATCCAGGAGAGAAATATAATTATTGCCGAGATTTAGTTTTATTAAATGATTTAACGGTTTTGTAAAAGGGAATGTGGACAACAGGCAACACGTAGCACAAAATTCTTGTACATTTTTCGCTCTTTTCGATGCGTTCGAGGCAACGATGAAATCTTGTGAGATGTGAATGTATTTTGCGTGTTCAATGTTTTTCTTTTCCAACAATTTCATCTGTTCTACGTTTTCGCACGTATTGTGTTTCAAATAGATCAGCTTGTTACGTCGTTTGCTGTTCAATTTGCACATGTTAAAAGCGCACGGGAAATAATTTTGGGATAAACAGAGATTTTCACATTTACAATTGTTAATGAATTGTAACTTCGGTATATACGTTTGTATTAAATAATCTATGACGTCGGGATCGACGATATCGGCGAAAGGATTGTTGAATATCTTTAATTTATACATGTTAGGTATGAAAGTTGCAAAACTGTTAATAGTTTGAAGACAATTACTCAAAAGATTCCATGAGATGTCTAATTCCTCTAGCGACGGTAATACCTGTTCGATGCATAATAATTTTAGATTATTAAAACTAATATTTAATACTCGGACGTTTTCCATCAGGCTTCTGTTTGGGAATTCACTCAATTGGTTGTAAGAGATATCAATTTCTCGTAATTTAGACAGGTTTAAGTCTATATCAATGGATTTGATATTTTGTCCGGAGATACTTATTTTCACTAGATTGCATATTTCCATTTTCTGATTAACGTATTCTTTAATATTAGATTTCGATAAGTGTACAGGCAGAACTTCTTGTAATGTATGCGGACTCATTGTTTTTTCGTATGATTCTTCCTAAAAATTAGCTCGCACGTAACTACAAAGAGGAGGCATATTCTAAAAATAGTAGGAATGCAGTAAGATTACCATTGTTGATTCATTAAATACGTATTCGTATTCTATTATGAACATAGGATTTTTCATGTCGGTGTTCAGTAATTTAAATACCTGACAGGTCTCGGTTTCATTCTCATTTGTATCACTATAATAGTTCGTATATTTCTTGTGCAAACAATCATCGACATTACTTACTCTGTGCACAAAAGTGTAAAATACTATTTATAATCGAAAAATATTGTCATTCTGAGATTGGCTTAATTATAGCGGATTTTTATGTAAAATTTTTATGAATACTTTTAAGGCTGTATGAGCCGTAAGATCTCTGCTAAA